TTCGATCTGTTTGGACAACTGCTTCTTGGTCTAAGCATAAATTTCATATAAGCATAATTAAGTATTTTGAAATTCCATTTCTTCTTAAGATTGGCCATAATATGTTATAGTCCATACAGTCAAATGTTTTTGAATAGTCAATAAATCACAAATAGACATTCTTCTTATATTCTCTGTTTTCAGGCAAGATTCAGTTGATATCAGCAATAATATCATTGGTGCAATGGACTCTTCTAAAACACTGTTGAACTTCTAGTATTTCTCTGTCAATGTACTGTTCTCCCATTTTTTTAAATGATCTACAATATTTTATTTGTGTGTGATATTAATGATATTGTCCAATAATTTTCTCAATCTGTTGAATCACCTATCTTGGAAATGGGGACAAATAAGAATTTCTTCTAGTCAATCAAATAAGTTGTAGTCCTCTAAATTTTCTGGCACAGACTAGTGAAAACATCCAGGACTGCACGTGTTTTGGAACATTCATATTGGTATCTCATAGATTCCTGGGACCTTATTTTTGTCAATATCTTCAATACATCTTGAACTTTTTCTTTCACCATCCTTGGCTCTTTCCTATATGCTACTTTTTGAAATATTTCAGTCATGTATCTGCTCCACCTTCTTTTGATGATTCCAGGATTGTTCAAGATTTTCATATAGCATATCTCAGTATTACATACTGCTCAAGGCTTGAATTTGTTTCTCAGTTCTTTCAGTTTGAGAAATGTCACACAAAATCTTCCTTTTTTTATTCTCAAACTCTCTCTTTACACATTCCATTATAATTCATTACTTTGTCTTCTTGAGCTGTCATTTGAAATCTTCTCATCTCTTTGACATCAATATCTTTTCCCTTTATTTTGTCATCTTGACACTCTAATACAATTTTCGGAGTCTTTTTTGACATTTATTTTTGTTCTTTTCTTTATCCTCTGTAAGAACTTTTTGCTGTTTTCATGGATGCACATTTCACCTAGTTTTTGATCCTTAGTGTTCAATGCCTCAAATTTGTTCAAAGGATGATTTTTAAATTCAGATGGGATAGAATCAATGTTGTGTATTGGTGCTTGTGTATTTGCTTTAATTTTCTTCAACTTCAATTTTAACTTGCATGCAAGTAATTGATGGTCTGTTCCTGAGCTTGTCTTTACTGCTGATATTGAGCTTCTCTAGCAATTCTTTCCACACATGTAGTCAGTCTGATTCCAATGCAGTCGATCCAGTCAAGTCCTGGTGTATAGATGTCATGTGTGTTTCTTAAAAAATGTGTTCGCTGTGAATAAACAATTGAATGTACATAATTCAGTCATTTGATCTCCAGCCTCATTTCTCTTCCTACGGCTATAATTTCAAACCACAAATTTTTCATCATTGTTTCCAACTTTTGCATTCTGATAACAATTCATCAATTGTTATTAATGTGTTTTAATTGCATGTTCGGTCCATTTCAGACTGTGAAAGTTGATAGATTTTCTCGTTTGTTTGACTTTTGCTGTTGGTGCTTAAATTTGAATAGCAGTTTTATTAACATGCGTTCTTTGTATGCATATGGATAGTGTCTTAGCACTCACAGCATTGTACTTAAGGATTGATCTTAGGATAATTTTTTTTACTATGAATGCAATACCATTTCCTCCTGATTTTTCATTCCCATCATAAATCAGACAATTGTTTCAAACTGGCTAATGCCAGTCCATCTCAACTTACTAGAGTGTGAATCTTTATACATTCCATTTCATTATTTTCATTTTTAAAAATTTCTAATTTTCTGAATTCATGCTTTGTACATTCTCTGTTCCAAATACTAATGGATATTTACAGCTGTTTCCCTTAATTTTTTTAAACATCATACACTCTAGGAATACTACCTCTACTATTACGTCTAAAGGTCAAACAAAATAACAGTGGAGAGTGGAGAATGGAAGAGTGGGAAAGAAAGACTTGTATGGGGATGCTTACTTTATAATTTTATATGTGTGTGTTTGCTTCTAGTTCGATTTATAGTTCACTTGTCTGTAAGTACTGTGGTAAAGTAGATTCCTGGCTGCTGTGATTTCAGAAGCTGTGCTGTTGTTGTTGTGTGATGTCAAGTTAGAATGGACCCATAGATGGCCCTCCTAGCAGGTTTTCAGAGGCAATTAATCACAGGAAGAAGATTGCCTATCCTTCTCCCATTAAGCAGCTGATGAATTAGAAATGTGTATCTTTGATATTTAACCACAGCTTCTACCACTAAGCCTGGCTGTGCAACAAGTTTTAATACAAGCAAGTAATACATGGTGGACAATCTTCATCAGAGATTCCAGATTAAGACAATCTAAAATGAAGGATTGGCCATGCACCTCTGAAATGATAACTGGATTTTGAAAACCCTATGAACACTAATGATTAGAATTTTGAATATTTTGCATTCCATCTCATTTCTGGCAACTTCTAACCTTCCTGGATTTATATTTCATAGATTCTATGTTTCAATTGTGAATGAATATTACTCCTCATTTTTATATTACCTTCTAACGTGAAGAGCTCTACTTCTGGTACTATATCTAATAATGTTCTTCTGTTATTTATAAAATTCTTCTAAACACTCTTATTTAAAAAGTGGACAGACAATCCTGTTTCTTAGTCTGGAAAATCTACTAAATCCTGTGAACCATGGGTAACCCTGCTTATATTTAAAATGCTGGTGGCATAGTTTCCAGAGTCACAACAACATACAAGTCACCATAGTACAGCAAACTGTCAGAAAAGGGCTGTCTCTAGAAAAGCAAAAAATAAACATGAAAGCATATACATTCACAATCAATTAAAAAATAACAACATATACACCAAATCTCAAACAGAGCAAACTGACAGATCTGTCCTGTACCTAACCCATAATAGCAAACCATAACACAAGCAAGCATATAAATATCATAAAACAAACCTGCATGCTATGGGAAATAGAGAATAAATTGAGAAAAGTCTGATGAATGGCTCTGAGGTTGTTGGAGTGGTTATATGTGGGTTTCCCAAAGGCAGGCACAACCAAGAATAGCTCTTAAGGCATTTTTTACTGGAAATTAATTTGTATTAACTATTTAAATAGATTATATATTAAAATAAAATCATAATTGACACTCAATAATGTTCATAGTTTAGTATTTGCTGATGGAAAAGAAGAATTAGCTGTGGCTGGTAATACAAATTATTGACTCAAGAAAAATCACAATTATATTCGAAGTAATAATGGAAAAGATTACCAGATTACAAAAATTCATATAATTAAAATGAAGACAACTTAGATTGACAAAGACTGAGATATTAATTGAAATGTCAACAATTTTCTCAAAGAGAGAATTAGGATTATTTTTACCATGTTATTTATAGTTATGGTGCTTAGTTATGGGATAGCCATGAACATACGATCAACAGCCAAGAGAACAAACAGGTCTGTCTTGGAAAGGGTGATACCAAACTACTCCTTGGTTGCAAGGATTTTGAAGCTCTTCTCATATACTCTGGGCATGTGGCCAGAAGAGACCAATCTTTGGAAAAGGTCTTCATGTTTGGAAGGGCTGAGGGACAACACAAAAGAGAAAGACCTCAGATGAGTTGTATTGACACAGTAACTGGGGGAATGGGAGCAGGTGTGTTGGAGACAGTAAAACTGGATCAGGTTCGGGCAGGGTTCAGAGCTATTATACATAGGGTCTCTGTGAGTCGCAAGTGACTCAATGGCATGTAACAACAAAACATACTTACTCAAAAATTTAAAAGACAGATGGTGATTGAGGAACTTGTCTAGTGTCAGGAATTATTCAAGTTGTTTAAAATGTAGAAGTAAACTAAATAAAACAAAATCTTTCCTTAAATTATAATTCCCATATTACATTTAAGCTAATTTTTATGATGACTAATATTAAAAAAGAATAAATAAAAATAATTTCACAATTTTTTATGAGAAATAGCTATACGGACTCTGGATACACCATTCTTTACATGAAATTCAATACTATGTATTTAACATGTAGAAAAGGCACCAGTACACTTTAAATACTTTGTAAATAATTATTTACTAATATATACACTCATTAAAAATCATATCACTACCAGATTAGATGATCTACATGGAGAGAATGCAGTTCTTTTTAATAAATCAAGTTAGAGGCCAAGCTTTAAAGAAGTCAACTGGGATACAAGGCCACTGGCAGAGTGTCAGATTTGGTGAACTTTTCAGCAGAGTGGCAGCTGGGGCAAATTATTAGATGTGCCAAATTGTCAGTGTGAGTACATGAAATTAGTTCATGACTGCATAAATTCTTCAGATGTATTTCTTAGAAGTTTAAAATACTTACACGAGAGGTTTGGTGATATTGCTTTAAGGAATACACTTTTATTGAGTAACAATGCATTATGTTTTACCAACTAAAGATTAGGAAATGTGACAAAAGGTTTAACAACTCCAATTTTATTGTTCTTTTAAAATTAATACTGTTAATAATAGAGTGCTTTAATAAGTTTTCACATCTTATTTTCACTATTCTCTTGGTAACATGTATCTACAAATACATATTTTAGAGACTGTAATATTATAAAAACGGATGAACAATCGCCTCCTGTGCAATTTACAGGCTCTGAAAAACTTTCTGTAGGAATAGCAATGACTTTATTCCAAATAGACAGCAATGAATTTTGAGTTTAAGTAATATTAAAATGCAAGAACTGCACGTGCTTGTGCTGCATTGACTGGGAGCTGGCCTTTGGAACTGTGTAAATTCTAACAGGTTTTGAAAACCCAAATTATTTTTTAATCTAAATTCATTGAAGAAATGTTTATTTTGAAAATATGTACCAGTGTTTCGAAGTGTTAGCATAATATATTAGACATTATCAATGTATAACCAAGTTTAATTACAATTTCTTTTAATGTCAATGTTACTGTTATGTTTTACCATACTGATGAAATACTGAAGTAATACTGTGGAAACAATGTTGTTTCTGTGTATTTCTAGCTAGAACATGTGGATCCAATCTGCGTGGACCCAGTGGCATCATTACATCTCCCAATTATCCAGTACAGTATGAGGACAATGCACACTGTGTTTGGGTTATCACTACCACGGATCCAGACAAGGTAGGAATTTAATTTACTATTTCTATGTAGTTGATGTGTTCACTAAGTGACATTGTCAACCTTTTAAGATACACAAATGGGAAAGTATCCAATCTTAAATGTGGGAATTTCAGTGAAATTTCTTCATTCTGTATTATGTACATTTATACTAATGTTTATCTCAAAGTTTTTCTGGGACTCTGATATAAAGAACTTGATGTATGCAGGAGAAAAAAAAACTGATGTATGCATCCCTATTTGGCACATGGAAGCTTCATATTGGAAGCACTCCTCATGCCTTACACAATGTGACTTTTCATTTGTTACTTTTTTGTTGTAATAAAACTGTAATTATAAGTGGAAAAAAAAGAGCATTCTCATTTGCTTCCTTTACATAATTTAATACTTTATTTTATATCTTTCACATAAAAATCTCTGATACTGCATCTAAAGCTATCTTAAATACAGTACAATACAATGCTAGGTTACTATTAAGTTTTGAAACTAAAAACAGGAAAGTTTTGATTTTTTGTTTAAAGATATTTTTATCACAGACACCCTTTGGCTTTATATTTGCTTTTTATACTTTTAAATTTCTGTTTTGATTGATACTAAGATTGTACCTAAATGGAAGTGGGTTCAAAAAATAAGTATGTTGTTGGCTTTTCTCGTTTTTTTTTAGTTTTAATGAAAGTTTAGAGACTTAGGGTTTCTAGTTGCACTTTTCTCCCTGCCCACCCTTCCTCCCCAATTCACTTTTCTCCTTGATAAGTAAAAGAAAGATTCTTTCATTGCTATGCAATTCCTCCCCACAAGTCCACTGCACTGTGCAGCCTTCATTCTGGACTCCCAGATATGACAATAATACCTAATCATATATCCCTTTTAAACAGTTCTCTCCCTCATTTGTTGCAATGCAGTATACATCATTCCTTCCCTTCTCCTCTGTCTTCCCTCAATGTCAGTCCTGTTTTAAAATAGTGACCCTATGCAATATTTGTCCTTTTGTGACTGAGATATTTCACCCAGCAAATTGTCCTCCAGGGTCATCCACTTAGCATTATACTTCATGAGTTCCTTATTTTTCAGTGCTGCATAGTATTCCATTGTGTGAATACACCAGAGCTTCTCTATCCATTGATTTGTTGATGGACATTTGGTTTGTTTCCAGCTCTTTGCTATCGCAAACAAAGCCACAATAAACATGGCTGTGCTTATATCTGCTTAGGTACCAGTTATGGTTTCTTTAGGGTAAATTTCCAGAAGTGGAATTGCTGGCTCAAGTTATATGAAATTTATCCTCTCTTTATTTACACCACCTCTTCTGAGCCATTTGCAACCTTTTGAGAAAGCACCAAACAGCTTTCCAAAGTGGTTGTGCCATTTTACACACCACCAACAGTGAATAGGGGTTGCAGTTTCTCCTCAATCTCGCTAGTATTTGTTGTTTGATGTTGTGTTAAATTTTACTATTCTTACTGAGGTGAGATGATATCTCATAGTTGTTTTGATTTGCATCTCTCTTAGAGCTAGGGATTTTGAACATTTCTTGATGTGTTTGCTTGTCATCTGAATGTCTTCTTTGGTGAAGTGTTTGTTCATATCCTGTGCCCTATTTTCAATTGTGTTATTTACCTTTATCTTGTTGTGGTGCTTGAGTATTTTATAAATTCTAGGTATAAGTCCCTTGTCTGAAATGTCATTACCAAATATTTTTCCAATCTGTGGCTTCCCTTTTTACCCTGTTAGAGAAGTTTTTGTATGTGCCTAAGGATTTGATTCTTAGAAGGTCCCATTCATCTATTTTATATCCTCTCCTGGTTGTAGATTTTCCAGGATCCTTGGAAGACTGTTTATGTTGTGGATTAGGACTTCTAGGGTTCTTCCAAGCATTTCTTTAATGAAGTTCTTAGTCCTTAGTTTTAGTTCTAAGTCCATAATCCACCTTGAGTTGGTTTTTGTGTATGGAGGGAGGTGTGGATCTTGCTTGAATTTTCTGCAGATAGTTTTCCACTTTGCCAGCACCATTTGTTAAAAAGGTTGTCGTTTCTGCAATTAACTGATTTCATCTCCCTGTCAAGAATCGGTTGACCAATCTGTGGTGATGACTGGCATGGCAAAAGGTTTCAAGTTCTATTTTTTTTTTTACATTATCTCTATTTACTAGAGTTGTATCATGAACCAAGAGAGCAATTGTAACAATTAAATCTATCTCTGTATGTTATATTCAGTGGTTTACTTATTCACATTTTTATAAAAAATCTACCAGTTTCATGTGTAGAATACCAGTTTTAATGCTTAATAGCTGTGTGCTGAACTTAAGGAAATTAACTTTCTGGGCCACAGATTATTCGTCATTCAGAAGACAATAATAATATTTACCTTAGAAGGTTTTTTGTAAAGAATAAATAAATCAATACATGTGCCTAAATAAGTGCAAGAAGCTGTTAATACAAGAAGAGGTGGTGTAAATAAAGAGAGGATAAATTTCATATAACTTAATAACAACTTTTTAACTATTTGGCTGTGGTTTTTGAGCTTCAGGAAATTAAATATGAAGAGAGGAATTTTTGAACATTCTGAAGGTTAAAATGAGACTATAGAGAGGACATTTTAAAACAATTCAGTGTACTATTTTTGGGAAGGTATTAGATACTTAAGGATATTAATGATACATAGATTGTATTAATACACAACTTATCTAAGCAAAAGACATGTTTTGTATTATAGGAATAGATATTTAAATGGGCAAAAATGATTACATCTTTATAAAATCATTATGCCTCCTTAACACTTAGGAGGAGTAGAGAACCTTTTTTATGAAAGCTTATTGTATAAAAAATACAATCTATTTAAAATAGTTATGTAGATGAAATAAAAAGAAATATCTTAGTAAATTTCTTTATGTTCCTTGTGCTTTTTATGGAAATTATGCAAATTTATTACAAAGAAAAAAACAACTGCATTAAAGTGAATTTATATTACATTTAAAAAGCTACTCTAAACAAGTGTGGAAAATTCCAACTATCTAGACACAGGCTTCTTGATATCACATTGAATTTTTTCTTTTTCCTGTGCAATCCTTATCTTGTGTTGGCCAGCTTTTTATTCCTATCCTCACTGTAGGAAAATGTAAACAAATCACCCTACCTGGTCTTGAAGTCTCTAACTTTGTATCCTCAGATTTCTCTTTCAATCAGTACTTGTAAAATGATCACAGATCCTCTTAGTCATTTGACATCTGACTAAACTGGGATGTAAGGAATCAACAACTTCAGAGCAACTCTTAACTAATGGAGGACTATTACTGTTGTTTTTATGTGCAGAATTAGAACACATCAATAGCTGACCTTCCAGCAGATTTTGAGAGACTGTAATTGCATGGAACGATATTGTCTATCTTTCTTCCACAGAATAGTTAATGTATTTAAACACCTGCCTTTGAGATGATAGCACAAATCCTTACCCTGTAGGTCACAAGGTGGTGCAAAGTACAGCTTTTGGTATAGATTACATGTCAGCATCAAGAAGACAAAATTCTTTACCATTAGACAGTGGGTGACATCAGGATGGATTGAGAAAATATTGAAATTTTCAACAACTTCATCTTACTTAGATCCATAATCAACACCCTTGGTACCAGAAGTCAAGAAATTAAGAGACATTGTATTGAAGAAGTCTGCTGTCAGGTACATATTCAAAGAACCAAGGAGTAATGAGGTCAGTTTGAAAGCTAAGGTGTGCCTGTTTCAGGCCATGGTATTTACAATCACTTGTTCTGCATCTGAGTGCTGGAAAATGAATGAAAACAACAGAAGAAACCCCAATACCCTTACATTATAGTGTTGGAGAAGAGTACTGAGTATCCCATGAACTGCCAACAGAACAAACAATTAGTCTTGGAGAAGGTACAGAGTGCTCCTTAGAGGCAAGAATAGATAAGCTTCTTCTCACATACTTGGGCATGTTGCTAGCAGGGTTTATTACTTGGTAAAAGACATGATACTAGGAAAGGTAAAAGGTCAGCAAAAGAGAGGCAGAGTCTATAAAATGAATTGACAGAGCAATAAGCTTAAGTATATCAGAGAAGATGGGGATGGTGCAGGATAGGACGGAGTTCAGATTGGTAGTTCATAGGATCCCTATGAGTTGAGCTTGAACTAATAGCACATAACAATATCAATAAGATAGGATATTGTAGTTTTTAGGTGCACTGTTATATTCTTTTGAGCCAGAACCAATGATCGATGGTATGTAGAGAGTGAAGAAGAGGCCTCCCTCTTGGTAAGGTCTTTTCTTTGTCTTGATTACCATATTATGACACACAACCTTTCACTGTAGCTTACACATAGCAAATATTGTGACTAGTGAGAAAGACACAGAATCAGAAATTACTTTGAAAATGAATGAAGTTCTTCCCAGAGTGAGGACACATACAATTTTCCTAGGAGCCTTACTTTACATTTGTAGTCTTTGCACAGGACTTAATAATGGTGTTATTCTTAAAAAAAAAGTTAGTTTTGATTTATAACAATAAGTCAACTAGAGAAAAGAACTTTGGAATAAAATTTTGATGGGAGAAGATAATGAATTTAGATTAAAAATGAGTTGCCCCAAATCTTGCATTCAATGACTTAGAAAGAACACAAATAAAACAAACAAACAAACAGAATCTCAGATGCCTAAAAAAAAGATCCAGGATTCAAAACTGGGACGGGGGTTCGGGGAAGAAGCTGCAGCCGCACAGACTGCATTTTGGAGTTTCTCAGCCTCCGTTGCAATTAAGTGTCTAATATATAGGAAAGAGAAACAAAGGCAGGTGGTTTATAATTAGAGTTTTATTAAAGGTCTTGTTTGGAAACTTTAGGACTTTATCACTTATTGTCAGACCATACATCCTAATATATGAGTGAAAGTCATCTATTGATAGCTTACTGAACCTGTATTCTAAGCATTCTAATTAAGAAGATAAACTACAAAAGACAAATCTCCTGCTGAATTGATTATGATGTAGGACAATC